AACAATGAGACAGCATTGGCCAGCTTCATAAGCAGTGGTGGTAACAGTCTAATTGTTAAGGTTTTGTAGGCATCACATCAAAAGAGTTTCAAGGAGAGAATCTGAAGATAGTTAATGGGGTAGCTTTGCAGGTCTTCACAGGGGGTACCTCTGAAGGGGGAAGGACAAGATGGGAGAAAACAAAGGCTCTCGTTTGAAAGCAGGTGGGCAGTGGAAGTTGGCATCATGGCCCACTTGAAGGCAGGAGTTAATTTTTCAGTCTTTGAAATGGAAGTTTCTGAAGGGCCTTGTAAGCGAAGACAAATGGCTTATGTTGTGATAGAGAAGGAGAAGCCAGTGGAGGGTTGCAAGGAGGGTTGACGTGCTAAGAATCCACATTGATACTTTCCTACACCTTCTGTAGGAATAGTAAGAAATATACATGCGCCTCTGTAGATTACCCAATAAGCATATGCTTATTGGGCAGTCGAGTGGAGTACTTGACTGTTTGCTTCCCTTCCTCCCTTGCTGCCCCTGTATATGAGGCAACAAGGGGAGGGAGGAGAGGCAACGATGCTGGCGAGAGCTGGCTTAAAAACCAGTTCCCCCCAGCACTGCCTCTGTGGTGTCACCTGCCTCTCTCTCTCTCTCCCCTCCCCCCCGCCCGCTGCCTCTGACAGAGGGAGGTGAGGGGAATAGGGGAGACTGCTCTGGCAGCAGTCCCTGTCTGCAGGGGTCCCAATGTGGAGCTGGGCCCCCCTACGATAGGAGCTGCTAGATTCGGCGTGAGCCAGGACCAAGCAGTCCCAGCTCGCCCTGGTCCTGGACACTGTACCTCTGCATTTTAAATGTAGCAAGAACCCGGTGGCTCTAACTACATTTAAAATGCAGAGCTGCAGTGCAAGTGGCTCCTAGAGCCAGCTCAAGTCAGAACTACTCTGTCATGGCTCGAGCTGGCTTCGGGAGCGACCCCTGCTACAGCTCTGCAGAGGGGCCCTTATTGACCAATTGTGTAGTCGATACAAATTGTATCACAATTAGCCAGATAACTGCAATTTAACATCCTTAAGGTACATCCACACTGTGGGCTAAAGTAGAGCTAAGATACGCAACTTCAGCTATGTTAATTGCATATGCAACTTCAGCTACATTAACTCGGCTTTAGATGCTGTCTACATAGCAGGAAGTCAGAGGAAGAACACTTTTCCTTCGACTTCCCTTAGGCTAGGTCTGCACTATAGACTTTTAGTCTAGATGGGGCCAAATGGCGGAAAAGCCTCCTCTTTTGGAGGAGCCCTTATTCCTTGTAGAACGAGGTATACAGGGCTCCCCGAAAGAGTGCATTTGCTCTTCTGCAAAAAAAAAAGTGGAAGAGCAAATGCGTTCCCTGGACATGGTGGAGTTTTTCGGGGATACTTCTGGAAAACCCCATGCAGTCTAGATGTACCCTTACTCCTCATGAAATCAGGGTTACAAAAGTTGGAGCAAGAAGCCTGTTTTGAAACAGCAACACTGAGGCAATTACAAAAGAGGAAGTCTGCAAGGCAATAAGAAACCTAAAGAATGGCAAGGCAGCAGGACCTGATAATATTCCACCTGAAGTACTAAAAGAAGGAGGAGCTGCTATAGTGGACCAGCTACACAGTTTGATAAATCTGATATGGACAACAGAGGAGATTCCAAAGGATTGGAGAAAACGGCTGCTAGTGAAACTCCCTAAATATGGTGATCTGTCACTGTGAAAAGTGGAGGGGGATTACTCGCCTGTCCATCCTAAGCAAAGTATTAACCAGAGTCATCCTGGAACAAATGAAAGATGCCAGAGACCACAAACTAAGAGAAGAACAGGCAGGTTTTAGAAGAGGACGATCTTGCACAGACCAGATAGTAACACTTTGGATCATCGTAGAACAATGCATTGAATGGCAAGCACCACCCTATATCAACTTCATAACCTTTATGAAAGCCTTCAATAATGTGGACAGGCAGTCCATCTGGACCATCATGCAACATTACGGTGTTCCAGGCAAACTGATTACCATCATCAAGAAACTGTATTAAGAATACTCTTGCCAAGTCATCCAGGATGGAAAATTGTCAGAAAAATTTCAGGTCACAACAGGTGTATGCCAAGGCTGCCTTCTTGCTCTATTACTCTTCCTGATTGTCCTAGACTGGGTCACAAAAACAGCATATGCTGACTCAGGAAGGGGACTCCAGTGGACTCAAACTAGGAACCTTGAAGCTCTAGAGTTTGCAGATGACTTAACCCTGCTTGCAGACAAATTAGAGCATATGCAAGAGAAGACAGATGCCCTACAGGAAACAGCTGAGCGACTGGGCCTCAAGATTAGTCAGAGAAGACCAAATTGATGCACATTAACAACAGACAGGAAGCTGAAATTACAATTGAAAGAAAAGCAGTGAAAGAGGTAGATCTGTTTGTATATTTGGGGAGTGTTGTTAGCAAGAATGGGGGAACTGAAGAGGACATCAGTGCAAGAATAAGAAAGGCGCAACAAAAGCTTTTGCCATACTACGAGTCTGGCGTACAAGAACTAAACTATGTACTTTCACTTCCAATGTGAAATCAGTGCTACTGTATGGCTCAGAGGCGTGGCATGTTGTCCTGAGCAACACTAAGAGAATCCAGACATTTGTCAATAAATGCCTTACACATTCTCCAGCTAAAGTGGTACAATAGAGTGCCAAATGAAACCTTGTGGACCAACACAAATCAGAAACCAATGAAGGTCCAGATTAAGAGAAGAAAATAGCGATGGGCAGGCCACATTCTGCGTAAGGACTGTGAGGAATGTATCACGAGACAAGTTTTAGAATGGAATCAAAAGGGGAAGAGGAAAAGGGGACGTCCCAAACAAACATGGCGATGAAGCTGCCTGGATGAAGTAAACACAGCTGGCTTAACATGGGATCAAATCAAGACTATTGCTAAGGATCGCAAGAGATGGAGAATGACTGTGGAGGCCCTATGCTCCATTAGGAGCCCAAAGGACTAATAGATTAGATAACACATGTGCGGAATTTGTGTGCTCCTCCCTCTTCTAATTTCTTTCAAAAATGACTTTGACAGGGAAGCAAAGAGAAGCCATAGAAGCAGTCATATACAGTCCTTCCCAGCAGTAGGTTTCAGATGCTCAGGGCAGCTGGCAGAAAGGTAAATCACGATGGGCTACGAGGAGGGATTTGGGAAGACCCAGTTTATGACTCCTATACTATGCTGGGCCTAGCTGTTAGTGCTGGCTGGGCTGAGGAGGGCAGGACTTTCTCTTTCCCAGCATGACATTCAGGTCCAGGTCCAACTGACCTCCCCACATGTTTCCCACAGCTTCAGGAAGTTCTGCAAATTCTTCCCCATTCCACTTCTTGCACTTACTGCTTCTCAGCTGCAGGGATCCTTGTATGGGAAGCTGCTCTCAACCTGCACAACCCCGAGCATCCAGACCTTCCTCATACCTAGACTTTCCCACCAAGCTTAACTCCCCGACCCTGCACTCAGAAGCCCCCTGATTAGCCCCATTCATCCTGCACCTGGATCACACTGATAGCCACCTGGATCCCAAATCAACTGTACCTAGATCCTCACCTTGCTGAGCCCCAATACCTGAGCTTCTTGTACCTACTCCCCTCTGCTGGGTCCCAGCCACCTTCACCGTGACCCCCTGCATTGCACCTAGAATCCTCCAGTAAAAGTCTGTGCATCCAGATCCCCCACTGAGATGCTTGCACCCAGATTGCCCCACACAGAACTCTCAACCCACATCTGGATCCCCTTCACTCTTGGATTTTGCTGCCCATACTTGGTGCACTTGGCATGGAGGGGCAAAGCTGTGGAGTGTTTCTGGGAATGGCTGTGTCTTTACACTGTCTTCAGATTGGGTGCAGTCTCACTGCTGAGTCTGTGTCCAGAGGTGGTGGGGAGTTATCTTCCATCTCTGTGGAGCCAGTGGCTTGTGCTCCACAATGCCATGCTGGAATAATTTATTTGACACAATTTGTTATAATATTGCAAAATGTTCAAGTATCATGTGCACAATTTTTAATTTTTTGATGCAGAATGCCCTCGGTAAGATTTGTCTCTGACACAAAGCTTTGCCTAAGCGGGCTAGCTCTATACAGGCAGTCCCCGGGTTACATACAAGATAGGGACTGTAGGTTTGTTCTTAAGTTGAATTTGTATGTAAGTCGGAACTGTCATCCAGATTCAGCCGCTGTTGAAACTGACCAGCAGTGGCTGAATCAGACACGCCTGGGGCAGAGCAGCTGGGGTGCTGCTGGGTTGGTCCCGCAGCGCCGCTCCTCGGTGCTACTGGACCAACCCGGCAGCACCCCAGCTGCTCTGCCCCAGGTGTCCCCAAGTCAGCCATTGCTGAAACTGACCAG